TGTCTCCCTCAGATTGGTCTCATCCTTTTCAACTATCTCTCGGAAGTCACTGGTACCATTTCGATCAAGTGGCTGAACTCTTGGGGGGTGGTTTCCCACTTGGATTCGAAGCCAGTAACGAGGTGCTTCCTCATCCTCCTCTTCATCAGAGTCACTCGTGGTTGGTTGCGGTACATCATGTCTGGACTGAAGGCCATTTGAACTCTTTTTGACTCTCTTTCGTGATTTTGCTGCACTTACGTTGGGGTTCTGGACCGGCTCTATAAGTAAGTCGTTCACTTGTAAAAACAAGTTTCGGTGCAAGGTGCGAACTGGACGACCTCCCACCTCAAGGCTGACTTTGTAGATGGGATTGTCGCCCACCTGTTCTCTCACAACAAAGATCTGCTGCTCCCAGTACAGTCTGAGCTTTCCAGGACCTCCTTGTTCGCTGAAGTTTCATACTAGGACTCTATCCCCAGGCTGTAGGACAACACCTCTACTCCTCTTATCATAGTGCAATTTTCCCTTTGAACTGGACCGTTGGCTGTTCACATTGACTATTTGATACGCTTCTGCCATCTTTCCAGCCCACCTCTCAGCATATCCACTTGGCTCTGTGATGTCATTTTGTTGCTCTGTTAGAAGGCCAAAAAGAATGTCCACAGGTAGGCAGGGATGTCGACCATACAACAAATAGTAAGGGGAAAACCCTGTAGCCCCGTGCTTTGTACAATTATATGCATGAAGCACATGAGGTAGGTGATCCTTCCAGTTGTCTTTCTCCTTCTCCCCTAGAGTCCGGAGCATTTGTAGTAGGGTGCGATTCAGTCGTTCAGCTGGATTACCCTGAGGGTGGTACGTGGAAGTTCGTGAGTGAGCCACACCAGCTATTCATCTGAGATTCTTAAAGAGCTCATTTTCGAACTCCTAGCCCTGGTCATGATGGAGTTTGGCCGGATACCCAAACCTTGGGATGAAATCATTGAAAAGTCAGTCTGCTGCCATCTTACCAGCTTTGTTCTTGGTGAGATAGGCTTGAGCAAACCTGGTGAAATGATCTATGATGACCAGGATGTACTCATACCCACCCTTGCTGGTCTCCAAGTGCAGGAAATCAATGCACAGCAGCTTAAGGGGTGAGGTAGATGTAATACTTCCCATTGGTCCTCTTTCATCTGTGACTGGTTTCTTCTGCTTAATGCAGAAGAATACAGTTGGATCAGAGTGTAACCCCGCCCGCTGTTATACGTAACGGTCAATGCTAAGTAGCTGCTAATGCTAGGTAGCCGCTAACGCTAAATAGCTTCTGTCGCCGTTACGACAGAACTCGCTCCGTTACACACCTGAATATGTGACCACAAACTCGATACCAATTTTATTCACTACTTCACACTTTAGGAGGGACAGTTTTCACCTGTTTCACACATTACCAACCTGGAAACATAAGTTAATAATGTCTGTGAGTGAAAGAGCAAACTTCGATCTTCTTCCCCAAACTCGGTCTGAGGAGGGAGAAAGGAGAGCTCCTCTCTCTGGGTATACTGGGAAACAACATCTGTCCTCCTTTGGTTCGATCTTTTTCCCTTTTAGTTTTGACAGTATTTCAGTCAGCTTCAGACCCAAAATAGAGTGTTGAAATTATTTTTTTTGTCCTTTGCAGGTAACAATAAAATTATGTAATGATTTATACCCTTGATTTTCTTGTCTTGTAATAAACAAATTGTGGATAAAATTCTCAAAATATAGTGTATTACATGAGCTCTGACCTGATGGGGTGAATCCGCTAAAATTAATAAATCGTCCAGGTAGTCTAGGGTTCGGACTCCCTGACTCCTGATCGGTGTCAATGCTGCCTCGAGGCATTTTGTAAATACTCGAGGAGCCAGAGACAGTCCGAATGGCAGGACCTGATATTCGTATGCCGTATTCTCAAAGGCAAAACGCAGAAACTTTCTGTGTTTTGGTAGGATTGAGATGTGAAAGTAAGCGTCGTTCAAATCCACTGACGTGAACCAATCCCCCGGACGCACAGATTGCATTACTTGGTGCATTCTGAACTTGAATGATCTCAGTTTTCTGTTTAACTGTCTCAGATCCAATATTGGGCGGAGACCCTTGTCCTTTTTTGGAATTACAAAATAGCGACTGTAAAAAACGCTGTTTGCATCCTGAGGGGGGACAATTCTTATTGCTCCTTTTTCTAGGAGTGAACAAATCTCCTTTTTCAGAGTTGGAGCAAGATCTGGCTGTATTTTTGACATTACAGTCCCTCTGAACGGTAGAGGAGGCTTGCTGAATTGCAATTTGTAACCTCGGACTACAGTTCCCATGATCCATTACGATGGTGCGCATGCGCGCCATGCCCTCACGTTTTGAAGAGAGCCTGAATGGCGTGTTCATTTGTGGGCTCACTACACCCTCTACTGGACACAGATTTAAGCGGGGAGGAGAGTTTAACTCTGTCAGCCAGAGCTCCGTCTCCTTCATGGTTGAAGTTTGGTTTGTGAAAAAAGGGGCAAAATCGCCCTTTATTTCTGAATCTTGAGACAAAACAGTGTGAACACAACTTGCTTTTATTAATTTTGGTGCTTGATGATAACATTTTTCCTTTATTCCACAGAGAGATGAGAAATATGTGTTCCTAAACATTTTTGTCCGCTTAATCTGTTTTTCTTTTTAACTCCGACACAGACTGAATCTGAGAGGCTCTCTGTTTTCCCTGTTGGTGGAGAGGTTCTGATTGTTCTGAAAACATCTGTAGAGCTAGGCTGACTGCTGTTTCCTCTCCCTCACTGTTGATGAAGATTTTGATGCCCTCGCTTGTCTCAAGACAAAGCGGTGCTTTGCTTGGACCATGCCGGTTGTCCGGGTAGCGGATGTCATTGCAGTGCCTCCTCCTGCTTCCTTCTTTGATTGCAGCAGTTCTGGATCTTTTCCAAAGCTTCTCCAAATAGTCCAGTGGATTCGACGGCCTGCTGGAGAAAAATGGAGCGCTGGCTTTCTGGCAGCTCGGTGAGAGTGAGCCACAAGTGTCGCTGAGCGACAACCGCTTCCGCCATGCTTTTTTCCAGGGCAATAGCTACGGTGCCCAACAGCCAAAGGATAAAATCTGCTGTCCTGCAGACCTGTCCAGTGGTTCTGCGACATTTCTTCTTGACTTTAAAGCTTCCTGCAGCTCCTGCAGCTTTTCAGCCTGATACGCCTGCAGCATTGAGGCCGTATTAAGCGCGCACACAGATTTTCTCCAGCTGTGTTGCTGAGAACCGGCACTGTTTGCTGGGGAACGTGGGTTTGCCGGCTGATATGTTTGCCTTGGGTGCCAAGTGGGCCGCCAACGTGTCATCCATGGGTGGGATGTGCGACAGACCAGCTGGCTCCATGTTTTCTAAGTCCATCTAAGTTCATCTGCGTCATCCATGGGAAGGAGCCTGTCCATCTGCTCACCCCATGACAACGCCGTGGTGCTGTCGTCCATCTCATCGGACTCCAGCTCTGTGGTCGGTCCAAGAGCCTCAGACAACAGCGGGTCTCTCGCTGCGGTTGAATTTCCTAACATTTTTGTCAGTAATCCCACACGCTTCTCCAGGGTCGATTTTCGGAGTCGGCTACAATGCGCACATGACTCCGGGTTAGCAAGTGCCGCCTTAGCATGCAACATGCCGAGACACACTGGGCAAGCTTCTTGGGTGTCCACTTCCGAAATAAAAAATCCACATGCGCTTGGACATGGACGTGAACCTGGGCTTCCCGCCTTGCTAGCTTTGCTAGAGGCTTTGATTTTTCTCTTGCGCTTCTCCGGTGCCATGTTAGCAACAGAGAAAGAGAGTAAATTTTTACCCGTTAGCAAGCTAAACAGGCAGAAAGTTAGCTGTGATGTTCTATACTTTTCCTCGTTAGCAGCAAGGCTAAACAGGGAAGAGCGACCTAGACCAGTTAGCAAGCTAAACAGGCTAGAAAAACAGCAAGTGGAAAAGATGTGTGTTAGCTGGGCTAAACGGGCAAACAAATGCCAGTTAGCAGGCTAAACAAGCAGTAAGCAGGATCAGAACCTTGTAGTGACGCCCTAGGTAGGGAGCGAGCTCACCTCCAGTCGGACAGTTGAGTCACATACAGGGGACCTGCAATCAGGTTAAATCGAGATGAAGTGCAAAAAGATTAGGGAAATGAGACCACGCTGCATATTTATAGGCCAGGAGGGCGGGGCCTCCTGTGTATGCAGCAGTCTCATTTGCCTTGACAGGCATGTTGAAAGAAACTTCTTCAGGTTGGTCTCGCGAGGGCGCAATCCCCATACTACTGTGTTGTACTGAGTGTACTGACCGAAAGGGAACCAAAAGGCGGAACAGAAGCTGAGTGATGCATTCAATGTTTGTCGGACGTCTCCCTTGTGTCATTTACTATACTTAACTCACTTTGACAATCCTCTTTGCAGTTAATAACTACAAAGTTACTATACGTCATCATCAATATTCTCTCTGTGATAAATTTGTTTATATTAAAGATGTGTGAGAGAGTCACGTCCCAGAGACAGTGTGAGCATTGCAAAGCATGCTGGGTCTGAATTATGTGTGCAATGTTTCTGCGTGTTTCTATGTTTCTGAGTGTGAAAATGGGTTTTTCAAGTTGTTTTCATGGTTTGGCCATGAACTGTCACCATTAGTCAGAGACTGTTTGTGGTAGATATGAGAGGAAAAAGCACTGAAAGTGTGGTGACATCACCGGGGGGGCGCTTAGCTTTGTTTAGCTTTGTATAACGTAACATTGCTCTGTGTGAATCATCCTTCTCTTGTACACCTTCAGTATGGAAAACAGTCATATTTTTAGATCAGTGTACTTGAACGTACCAGATTCAAATTTAATGGAAGCGAATTCCCCTAATGGTTTTCAAAGTTAGTGAAAACACTAACCTGCTAAACGGAAACTTTGTTCCACCATTAACCAAACCCTCCCCATCACAGGTTTCTATAAATTTATTAAAAAAAACAAGACATCTTCTTTACCAAATGAGGATCATTTACCATTTGACCAGGTGGGTCTGTTGTTGTTGGACAGCTGGTCGGTACTGGTTTCTCTGAAGTCCACTAAGGTCTCCTCCATCCCCTGACAATCTGCGTTATGGTCCTCCATCATCTGAGGTCACCAGATTCTGAAGAAGAAGAAAAGAGTAACACAAACATCTTTGAGTTTATTTCACTGAATATACAGATGTGAACTCTAAACCACTTTATACAAAAACACATGATGTCACTTCAACAAAAACACAGAAAATCACGACACATTCATCAAAACAGGAACAAAAATTAGTATAGAGCTGAAAAGAACTGCATATTCAAAAGTTAAATAACTATACACCGTAATGACTTGACATATTTACAATTAGCAGTGTAACTGTAGGTCACAACACACCAGGTGAGGAGTCCTGAAATAATCTTGCAAAATCAAATTAAATAATAATTAATAATTCCTGCTAGCATATTTGCACTGTCAATGTTATATAAAAACAACAGTAGTACAAAAATAGGGCTGATTATAAAAGTACTGAATACTGTGTAATGTACATATTGTACGTTTTAAGGATATTCTGCCCCACTGTGGTTAGAAATGTGTTACTGCATGCAACCCGTTTAGTAGAATCAATATAATGAATGATAATGGTTAATTGAGCAAATACTAAACTATTGTTTATTTTTTGTTTGTTTGTTTGTATTTTTTCAGAAGTATGCAGCACTTTTTGATAAAAAAAATTGAAAAATGTGGGTATGGGCTTTTAAATGTCAAATAGATTCGTATGCATTTGCAATTATAATTTAATACACGATAATAACAAATTAATAAAGACTTTTTAAGTAGAAAAACGAGGCATTTAAACATTTAGAAAAACTATGGGGTTCCGCTTTTATTTTGAAGTAGGCAGAAGTCACATGACAACGTGGCAATCTGGTCATATGACTGTCTCGGAAGTACACAAGTTATTTTTTTTTTGTGTTTCTAAGAGTGTTTTTACTTTTGGCTCATGGATTTGTAAAGTAACTTAGTTCATCGATTGTTTATTTATTTATTTAATAGTTTTTCGTGGCTGAATTTTCAAAATGGAACCGGAAGTCGGATAATTTCTGTGTTTTTGCTGCTCTCTCCGGTTGATTGCCTCTTCAACCCCTCACATGTACATAGAACTGTTGTTACCTGATCATTACCACCGTATAACGCGCACATTTATGTCATAGTTTGGGCTTGCATGTTGTTGCAGAAGTGTTGGATATCATATTCATATTGGTCAAATTATGAAAGTCCCATTAGATTTGATGAACCATGTGGGGAATGTCTGATGGACATTTCAGAGTAAAATGAGCCCAAACGCAGCACTGCTGCAGCAGAATGGCACTGAATCCTGTGCCAATGCTGGATTAGCCTCTCCTTATCTTGAATGTCAACATTGCTGATGTGGTGTGGGCTCATTCTGACAGAGAATAGAAAAATAAACAGCAGTACATGAAGAACTTTGTTATTCTAAAAGTCTCAGGGTCTATTAGTGAGGACTGAAGGGAGAAAAAGAAAGGTTCAACGGCTATGTTTATTATGAGTATTAGTAGAACTCTGTTTATTCTCCATAATATTCATACGTTTTCACGTTCATCATTTACATTGAAGTTCCTGTTTACTCACCAGACTGCCTCGTGATTTTCTAATTATGCACTTGATCAACGTGCCCAAACTGGTTTGATAAATGTCTGTACCTTCCCCT